CTGATATCCTGCTAGACAGGAAAATAATCTGTTTGAGCCTTGCCACCATTTTAGTCACACCCAAATGACCTGCAGTGGTATTATCATGAAAATACTCAAACAGAGACCTTTTGACAGTCTGAGGAGAAAAAAGCTTAAAACTTTTTCTTGAGGTGCAATATACAAGAAGATTTTGAGTCTTTGTGATATAGAAGACCATCAAGAACAGTGAAGAGAGGATCTTCTTCCGGTGACATACCCTTACCTTTCTCCAACACACTAAACTGCTTCCTAACATCTGGGTCATTCAGCTCTAGGCTTCTCAAGTGATCTCTGACCATAAACAGTACAGGCATAAGCAAGTCCATACCCCCAAGAACAGTGCAATCAGGGAGAACGTCCAGCGGCTGACCGGAAGAAAGTAAGGGGTTTCAAGACACACTGTCCCGCTTTTGGACACTCCAGGTTTATGGATAATCTCAAAACTGCCAGTGGGGTTTAGTTGGGACATCAAGGACTTCACACTGCTGTGGTCACAAAAAACTGTGACATGCAGTCCCTCAATGTATGCTCTCAAATTCTCAATTGCCCAAATTACCGATAGGTGCTACCGATTGGTAATTGTTTGCGCTTGTGCTTCACAAGTTTAAAAATGTTAAAAATTGAATTTAATGACTAATGTGTCAACAACTTTAATCGAGTAAGTGTGCACAGCTGAAAGTTATGCTACTAATTCCCACCCTTAAAGGTGCAGTGTGTATTTTTTAGCGGCATCTAGCGGTTCGGTTGCGAGTTGCACTAAGGGCTCAGCCCACTGCTCACCCCTCCCTTTCGAAGAAGCTACAGTGGTAAAACGGGACAAACGTATCGTCGTCTGAGACAGCAGAGAATAGCCAGAGTAAGTTAAGCTTCTGTACCATAGTCCATTATAAACCACATCATGGATAAAGTTTAGAAAGCCATGGTCAGGTGAGGATCATGGGTTTTAATATATAATATAATAATAGTAATCAACTGATTGTCTTACAAACGTAACCAGCACATTTCTCCCCACATAGCAAACCCATAGTACAGCGAGGAAGAAGGGTCTTTATGGTCTTTATACACCACTGAACACATAGTTATGGATCTTATATTGCATTTCTCTCAATAGATCCTCAGAAATATTACACACTGCACCTTTAAGTGGCATCAATGTAACAGCTAGTACAGGAGCTACTACTTTTTCTCAATGGCAGCTTGACAAATGAAACAAATCTTGAATGGTGGTGACTGGAAAGCTCAAGTTTCAAGGTAGCTTCCTCAACATTTTTGTTACTTGAAATCACTTGTATAACTGTCTAGCAGCCTCATGAGATCTCTGAGAGTGAAACATCCACATGGCTCTTCTTCTTCTTTGAGATGGCTGAATGAACGACTGATTCAATAGGCCACCTGAAAGACGTTCACTTACAGACGGTCACGGTGGCAAACACTGTGCAGAGCAGATGCGGCAAAATTAATTCCTCTAATTACAGACTTTTGCCTTCATCCCCATTTGCATGAGCTTTTGATAAGCTGAATGGGGAAAGGTCAAATGTTGTTGGCAGGAATTCCGATTTGGATTCACTTCAAATCATACGAGCCACAAACATTTTGAGAGGCAGCTGTTCTGATACGTCATCGCTACGTGTTGTAGCATGAATGTAGGACCACTTTGAGGGCACTTACACGCTAGAGAAAGTTTAATAAAGCATAATACAGTTTAAGAAAGAGTGGATCAGTCTGAAAACTATTTCAGCGATTTCAGCGGAGTGCAACATTTTCAAAGTAATGGACCAATTAGATTCATTTGGGGGTAGTTTGTCTTTTGTTGTTTTTAAACATAACAACTCCTCTGTTCACCTTCATGAACACCCTAATTAAAGTCCTGACCCATTTACCATTGTTCTGTGAATTTTCGCGAGTGAAATTCGAAAAGAATTCATGTCATAGTGAATTTTGCATGAGCGTGAAATATTTATGAATTGTGCTTCAAATATAGCTACAATATTGACCATAGATAATGGGTCTTTTTGCCTACTAAAGTTTGGCCAAATGTGATCGCACCTTTAGACTGACGCAAAGAAGCGCAGGATGCTACGCAAAAGTATTATGCAAAATACCTTTATAAATGTCCCACTAACTTGGGGTTGAGAGGACTTGCAGAAGGTTGAGGCTTGAACGTACACTATAAAAAAATTGTCCTGTTAAAAAAAACGGTAAACTACTGGCAGCTGTGGTTACCAGCACCATACCGTAATAATACGGTGTGTTACTGTTTTTGTGTTAGAGCATATAGCTGTTAAATTAAAGTTTTATACTGTAGCTAGCTGATAATACAGTATTTAGCTGTTAATTTCAACAACAGTAACACACCGTATTTTTATGCTATTATGCTGGCAACCTTTACCGTTTTTTACAAGATTATTTTTTACAGTGTACCAAGAAGAGGTCAAAATTAAAGTTTGAGATTTAATTATACACACACACACAAAAATGTATTCTACATGTTCTGAGCGTGTATTTTCACCTGACATCAAACAGATGCTACTGTTGCAACCGGAGGTTACCATAGCAACAGTTCCGTTTCCGTTACATCATCAGTATCGAGTTCCAAAACAGGTGTACTTCCATATTCTATCTATTTGTTCCAAATTCTATCATTAGTAGACTATATGACAGTTTTGTGCAAACATTTTAATTTAAGATTATTAAGCTGATTTTTGGCACGCCAGCCTAAATATTTAAAGAACAAAGACTTAAACAAATACTATTTAAAAGGCTTAGTGAGGTTGTTCTTTGTAAAACTGCTTAAAACAATGTTTTGTAAAAAACAAATACATAAAATTAAGTGTGCAAACATTGAAACGTGCAAACATTTTTATTTGACAACTGTAATTGCTATTTAAAAACATGTCTTAAATACAAGGAAGGAGAATATTTAACAAGAAAGGCACTAAAGAGAGGGATGTGAAGATGTGAAATGAACAGACTGAGACTTTATATTAGATAAAAACACGTGGACAAATTTCTCTTTTGGGGACATTTGTAGTTGAAATCATAATATTTTGCAATACTCAGCATTTCGCAACTATAGAATCGTGGCTTAAGCATTGTGATAATATCATTTCTTGGGTTCTCTGGTGGTTCCCAATCCTAACAATTAAAAAAACTGAATAAAAGTCTTTGCTCACATTTAATGACCACATGATGAAACAATAATATATGTAATATTATTTGAAGAATGCTTATAAGCATTCTTAAATCTGCTGACACACGGGCTATCTTACAAGTCTGATAAAAGTCTAAATGTGCATGATTTAACAATTTAACTGCATAAATATATGAATTTTGACACTGCACTAATAAAATCATTTTTGTAAGATTAAAAAGCTGCACTTCTAATATCAAATTATTAAACTAAGTGATAGAGTGACCTTAAATATATTTACATATAATGTGTCAAGTCATTTTGTTCTGCCAGCTTCCAATAAAAGCACTGAATCGTGATAAAGGGATTACTGAAGCACACTGCGGAGAAATCTGCGAGTTTCAGTCGAATATTTCTGGTTTCCTTTTCGCACACGTGGCAGTCTTATTCCTGTAAGTAAAATCCAGCATAATGAGACTGACGTGTGTGACCTGGAGTACAGAGAGAGACTCTCCAAAGGCATAATGCCCACGAATACAGACTGTGACGTGCGTTTTAACGGTCAACTCTGGTTTTAAAAGTAATGGCCTACGAATCAGACCTTTAGCAGAAGCTTTCCCAAATTTGCAGTGAGTTTGTGTGTGTTTTTTAATGCAAAACTCTACAACTTAAATTTCAAAGACGCAACCAATATGTTTAAGGAAATCAGTAACACTTTAAAATAAGGTTCATTATGTGTTCATAATGTATTAACTAACTAACAATGAACAATACATTTGTTGCAGTATTTATTCATTTTGGTTAATGTTAGTTAATAAAATACAGCTGTTCATTGTTTGTTCATGTTAGTTCACGGTCCAACCTTTGATTTTAATTTTAATGAAAATATTATTAGCTAAGATTAATAAATGCTGAAGAAGTAGGCTATTGTTCATGTGGTTAACTAATGTTAACTTATAAATCTTAACCAGTAAATCAACTATAGTTTCATACTTGTAGATAATCCTAATCATATATTATAGTTATAATATGAATAGGTTTGTGACCTATTTAACTCTAAGTTTTCATGTATTTATTACTTGTTACAGTAGTTTCAAAGACATTAAAGCAGCTTGAGGAAAAAACGTTTTATTAGTATCACTGCGTAATAATGTAAATAAAAAATGTTATTGTGCATTAAATCAATTTGCAACATTTAGGATCGTGCATAATAAGGTATCATAACAATGTTTATGATAATAAAAAAATACAAGTAAATAAATCGAATAAATAATAATTATTAATGAATTGATTGCAGCTGACGAGTTGAGCAATAACGTAACCCTTCAGGTCAGATGGGAAAAAGTTTGGTCTCTTGGATTCCTTGCAAAGCTGAAATCTAATAATGTTGATAAATACATGTTCATAACTGTGCACCAAAAACTACCATCCTAACCCTTTGTGTCTTATAATACAGACTAAAATATGCTCAAATCTAAACCTAACTTTACTCCAAACCGAACAAGATCATCTAAATTCTCAATTAAGCCAATAGCTGTGATTTCAGGGGTTAAACGAGGAGCAAAAAATAAACCCCCAGAAGTCAACAAGCATGTAAACAGCAAGCTGTCAAAAACTGAAAAAACTTCTCACGCGCAGCTAGAGACTTGAGCAAATGGCAAATAAACATCTCACGTCCCTGAAGTCACATTGTCAAGCCCAATTATCAAAGTGCGTATCATAAACAAGCCAGGAACTTTTCATTTCGACTCCATTCAAGAGCCTCCCGGCAGGAATAGCCTTTGCTATTAAAGCAAATAATTATCCAAACAAACAACAACAACAACAACAACAAAAAATCCCCAAATACCTTGCGATGCCCAGAGGAAGCCTGCGGCCGGAGAGATGGGGGCGATACACTTCTTCCTCTCGTTCTCAGCAGCTTCTCTCTCTCTGCGGCAGAAAGCGAATGCTTTGAGACTCGGTGGCATATTTAATTAGAAGCAAGCTGTTTGCACTATCACTGTGAGGATCTACCTCGCCAATCTCTCCTGAGTCAATCTTCCCCATCTCTGATTTTCTTTTATATTTATGCTGGAATATTTAATTGTAGACAAAAGGTTATTCGGGCTGCATTCACTGCACACGGGCAGAATAATCTGCTTTAAAAGGCTTGACATTTCAGGCTTTTGAAAAAGGCTGAAAAAAAATTATATCCCTGCTTTTGTTAATCAATGAAGTAGAACTCTCCTGAACAAAAGAATTAAATTGCTTGGTTGGTTTAATAAAACCAACAGAAATCTCTGCTTCCTCTGGGCTTTGTGTGTGTGTGTGTGTGTGTGTGGAGATGCAGCACATGCACCCGCCACTGTAATTCCATATGATTTGGGGGCAAAACTCTCTCTTTTTTTTGCTTTTGCAATGCTATTGAATCTCCAGACGGCGTGCCAGGAGAGCGTTTGTCATTAGACGTGACTTTCACTGACTGCGGCCCCGTCCACTACAATTTATAATTTCTATACTGTCTTTTGCCGGTATAAAAACGCTGTAATTATGCAAATGATGGGGGTTATAATTAGGACCTTCAACCGTTCATTGTGTTGCTGCAGTGAAATCCATCCCAATAGGAAGAGCCCTGCGTTTTGCCTTGTGTTTCCCGTGAGTCTGAAGCCAGCCGGGGGAAACTTTAGCCAAAGTTCAAAGCACATGTGAATATAGTTGTGACGCGCTATCTACTGAAGGCCATTTCTGCCACATAAGGGGAAAAAAGCATGGTTTATTAGTTAAAAAGACAAAATTGTCATAATTATGAGATGAATTAATTTGATTGTGTAGCAAAGTCATAATTATGAGATAAATGTCAAAATTGTGAGTCAGAATTATGAGATGAAATAATTTGATCGTGTAGCAAAGTCATAATTATGAGATGAAAAGTTAAATTTATGACACTTAGCATAACTATGGGATATAAAGTCTAAATTATGGCATACTAAGTCATAATTGATTGTGTAGCAAAGTCATAATTATGAGATAAACGTCAAATTTTCAGAATTATTTGATCGTGTAGCAGAGTCATAATTATGAGATAAATGTCAAAACTTTAGCCAAAGTTCATAAAATCCAGGAACGAATTAAGATGAAATTGTATGATCTTCACACATGTGAATATAGTTATGACGCGCTATCTACTGAAGGCCATTTCTGCCACATAAGGGGGAAAAAGCATGGTTTATTAGTTAAAAAGACAAAATTGTGAGTCATAATTATGAGATGAATTAATTTGATTGTGTAGCAAAGTCATAATTATGAGATAAATGTCAAAATTGTGAGTCAGAATTATGAGATGAAATAATTTGATCGTGTAGCAATGTCATAATTATGAGATGAAAAGTTAAATTTATGACACTTAGCATAACTATGAGATATAAAGTCTAAATTATGGCATACTAAGTCATAATTGATTGTGTAGCAAAGTCATAATTATGAGATAAACGTCAAATTTTCAGAATTATTTGATCGTGTAGCAGAGTCATAATTATGAGATAAATGTCAAAACTTAAGCCAAAGTTCATAAAATCCAGGAACGAATTAAGATGAAATTGTATGATCTTCACACATGTGAATATAGTTATGACGCGCTATCTACTGAAGGCCATTTCTGCCACATAAGGGGGAAAAAGCATGGTTTATTAGTTAAAAAGACAAAATTGTGAGTCAAAATTATGAGATGAATTAATTTGATTGTGTAGCAAAGTCATAATTATGAGATAAATGTCAAAATTGTGAGTCAGAATTATGAGATGAAATAATTTGATCGTGTAGCAAAGTCATAATTATGAGATAAACATCAAAATGTGAGTCAGAATTATTTGATTGTGTAGCAAAGTCATAATCATGAGATAAACGTCAAAATTGTGAGTCAGAATTATGAGATGAAATAATTTGATTGTTTAGCAAAGTCATAATTATGAGATAAACTTCAAAATTGTGAGTCATAATTATGTGATGAAATAGTTTGATCATATAGAAAAGTCATAATTATGAGATGAAATAATTTGATCATATAGAAGTCATAATTATGAGACAAACATCAAAATTGTGTCATAATTATGAGATAAACATTAAAATTGTGAGTCAGAATTATGTGATAAAATAATTTGATCATATAGAAAGTCATAATTATGAGATAAATGTTAAAATTGTCAGTCAGATTTATGTGATGAAATAATTTGATTGTGTAGCAAAGTCATAATTATGAGATGAAAAGTTACAATTATGACACTTAGCATAACTATGAGATATAAAGTCTAAATTATGGCATACTAAGTCATAATTGATTGTGTAGCAAAGTCATAATTATGAGATAAACGTCAAATTGTCAGAATTATTTGATTGTGTAGCAAAGTCAGAATTATGAGATAAACATCAAAATTATTAGTCAGAATTATGAGATGAAATAATTTGATCGTTAGAAAAGTCATAATTATGAGATGAAAAGTTAAAATTATGACACTTAGCATAACTATGAGATATATAGTCTAAATTAAGGCATACTAAGTCATAATTGTGACAAAAAAGTCATAATTATGAGATGAAAAGTCAAAATTATGGCAAACTAAGTTATAATTGTTCGAATTGTCAAAATTGTGAGTCATAATTGTGACTTTTGTGAGATAAAGATTTAAAATTGTGAGTAATAATATAATTATTAATAATAATTAAAAAGTCAAAATTATGACTCAGTTTGTCATAACTATGAGATCAAAGTCTGAATTATGGCATACTATAAGTCCTAATTGTAAGATAAAAAGACAAATTAATGTCTTATAATAATGAGATAAAAAGTCACAATTGTAAGATAAAAAGAATTGTCTTACAAAATTATTGTAAGTCATAATTGTCAGCCATAATTATGAGATAAAGTCAAAACTGTGAGTCATAATGAGATGAAAAGTCAAAACGATGACATACTAGTCATAATTGAGATAAAAAGCCAAAATTGTGAGTTATAATTGTGAGATAAGCCTCAAACTTGTGACATAATTAGGATAAAACAAGTCTATCTTGTCAGATACTTGAGTCATAATGACAAAAATTTGCAATTATGAGATACTTCGTCATAATTATGAGATAAACATCAAAATTATGAGTCATACTTAAAAAAAGTCAACATTGTGAGTCATAATTATAACAAAAAAAGTCAAACTTATGATATACTAAGTTATTATGAGATAAGTCAAATTTATTAGCTAAAAAGTCATAATTATGACAAAAGTCTAGGTTATGACATTAAAAAATTATGGCAAGTCCAAGTTATGAGATGAAACAATTTACTTTTATGTCATATTTATGACTTTATGCATTATGTATATTTTACATAAAGAAAATTTAGGTCCATTAAATAGTTTTTTTCCCGTTATGACAAAGGCGTATATTAATTTCATGACTATTACATTAGCAGATTTCTCCCCCAGATGTCATTATTGCAATGTAATAAAAAACATTTATTTTACTTTTTGATTTTTAATGAAAACTTATTTATAGCCTAGTGTAAATATATATTCCCAGTCCCACACACACACACACACTTGCCCCGGCTCGACGCGCACACCAGCGCACAAGTATAACATCAGGCCACGGTCCACCTGGCAACTTCATGCGTTTTCACTGATCGGATAGCTATCTGATTTATCAAAATACGATCTTCAATTCCCGTGCTATATGCAGATTTAATGGAGTGCACGTCACCGAAAGCAACAGTTATGAGGTGCGTTTTATGATCATCAGGTAAAATAAGATCAGTTCGTTTATTTACTTTTAATGAAGATAACTGTGAAAAGCTGCGACTTACTTTCACTTTGATTTGCGATAGTTTGCGCGTTGGCTTGATGAAAAGGAAATGTTCAGCAGCTGCTCATCTGCGTGATGCGTGTTGCAGTCGCGCGCCCCGTCAACTTGACAAGCCTATAATGTTCTCATTTTTAGCGTTTTTGGAAGGAGTACATTTTACATATGTGGTTTATTTAATAACGAGATGCATTTACATTTGTCCAGTTTCAAATGAAATGCGGCCCAGACCACCTCCTAAAGTGGTTTGAGCGATTAGATTCAAATAGGCTACGTCACGAATGCGTTTCACAGGGCATTTACACCTGGTGTAATTACACGTGATCTTTGACCATTTGACCATCTAATGACCATTACACGTGGTCTTTTCACGATCAGATAGCTATCCGGTCAAAGAAAACGCATAGTGGCGTTTATGTTGCATAGTGTGTTCTGTAGACTTGCTATTTATTTATTATCTTTTACACTGTAGTGTACACAACTAACATGTCCTGTTCTGTAGACAAATTATTTAGGCCTATTTATTAATGCTGTACCAGTCCAATAGGCCTATGTCAGTTGAAATAAATCTTATGTTGTAAGAAAACTTCATTTATTTATTAATCTTTTTGATGCGTTTTCCAATAACTTTTGTAGTTTTACATCTGTTTAAAAATATAGAAATTAATATCGATATCGCAATATTCATTATCGATATCGCAATATCACATTTTTGTCAATATCGTGCACCCCTTACTAAGTGGCTTATCATTTGATGTTTGTGTGTATAGAGTTACTTTGAAAAAATACAACTTATGGAAGTTGTGTTTGATTTTGTAAGAGATGTCTGATATTTTGCATGTTGAGTGTTTTGTGGTATTGTGTGTAGATTTTCAAGAAATGGAGCCAGTTTCAGAAATTGTGTGTGCAATTTGAAAAAACTAATACAATTATAGTTTTATTCTTTTTGAATTACTACAGAAATGACAATGAAATATCATGTGTGTATGTGTGTGTAAACAGGGTAAATAGAAAATGCCATCACCATTTGATAATGCCATCACCATTTGCACTATGGAATGGGATTTTTGCATAACAGTAATGAATATTTGAGTATTGAGCCATAATATTTAATTTGGGTGAAAAATTACCAGCAAAATATGAGACTCACTCATAAAGTAGTCCTTTGCAAAGTAACTTTATAGTAACTTTCGTCTGTTTGAAGTTTTTTTTTTCCCCTCGTTTAGCTTATATACAAAGTCATAGGCTATTTATAATATACTTAACTTTAATAGTCTATATGATATATTTTATACAAACAGGCCGTTTTCAAGTAGACAGATGCGGGAATAATCTCCGCTTGTCATTAATTAATACAATTTGGTAGTTTTTATGTAATTTTATGTTATTATGTGTCGGTTACCTTCACATTTCTTCACATTTCACCAAGCAGCTTGCTTTTGCAACTGACGTTTTACGACGCAGGTTCGCGTTGGTTTGCGACGTTCTGGTTTTGTTTTGCGGCAGGTCGCTGAAGTCCCCCATAGCAACAACACATGAGCCTGACATTTAGCAGTCAGTTATGATTAAGGTTATAACTATAAGCGATCACAACACAGGGTCTTAGCAGAGAAAATGGCAAGTATTTCCCCCTTCACTTTAACCCTGGCGTCATTCTGGAGCGTTTATCAAGTCATTTTTATAAAAAAGGAAAGGTAGCATTAGCGCATTGCTAACTGATATTGACATTCAGTGCTGTTACTGTCTCTCTGCCTGAGCAAATCATTCATGTTTATAGTTATTTGAGATAGAATTACATTCAAGACCCGTATTTCCTTTGCTTTTTTTAAACGTAGTATATTTTTAATATGTAAAACATGACATTTTTTGCAGTCTGATTAACCATGTCTGATACTGTAAATTGGTGAGATATGATTATGATGCATGTAATCAATGTGGATGAGAAATAATCTGTATATAAGGGATGTTTTATGATTGACGGGTCTGATGTGTGGTTGTTGCACTGAATAATGCAAATTGCCTCTCAATTAATGCAAATTGCTCAATCAAGGGTTATTGTTGTGTGTGTTTCAGGCCAGTACCATGGTGGCCGTGGGCATTACCCTGGCAGCAGCAGGGTTTGCAGGTACGACTCCAGCGAAATATGATCAATTTACACAGGAACATTATACATTTCCATCTGTGCATTAATTAAGCCTGATTGTTTCCTATTCGGCTCACTTTCACAGGTCGCTATGCCATTCAAGCCATGAAACATATGGAGCCGCAAGTGAAACAAGCTCTGGAAGCATCCAAATCTGCAAGTTATATTTCTCACATTATGATCCATCCATAATTTATCTCTGTAAACTCATGCATATTGTATATGTGTGACAGGCTTTTGGTAGCGGATACTACAGAGGCGGCTTTGAACCAAAGATGAACAGGAGAGAAGCTGCCCTTATTCTTGGCGTCAGGTAGTGTGTGTTTTCATGAACAGTATCACATTCATCAACGAGGAAAATATCATATTATATACTTCAATTGCTTGTTTTAAGTTTAGATATAGCCTGTGTTTATTTACTCAAAAATTATACAAATATTTAACAGTAAAACCAGGGTTATTATAGTAAATTTAACCCATAGTAAATAAAAAAATGCTTACATGTTGCTTACTAAAAACTTTTTTTTTTTTAAATTTAGTTTAACTTTATGGTACTGAAATAACTAAAACTGAAATAGAAATTACTAAAAACTAAAAAAAAAAAACCTAATTAATACTTTAACTAAAATCTTTTAACATTTTCATTTTTAATTCCAATAATTTTTATTAAAAAAATAGTATGTTTTCTGCTTACTGCTGTCCACCCTGTTAATATGTACCTAGTGTCACACAAATGTGGATGTTTGGATAAATGCTTGGATGGATTGTGATTGGCTGTCAGTGATTTTATCGTTCATCAGCGGGAAAAAACATTCGGAAAGTGATTCCAATGATATCGACATGATCGTTATAGTTGTGGCGTGGACTGGGAGAACTAGAATGATTGCTAAAACTTCAGTTAAACTTCTCATCCTTTGTGTGAACGGGCCTTTAATCTGCTTTACGAGCCATAAACGTGATGATAGGTGTTAATAAATGTAATTCAAATCATTTTGACCCATGTGCATTTCTTAAGGTTTTCATTCTCTTTCCTTTAGTCCTACCGCTAACAAAACCAAGATCACACAGGCACACAGAAAACTGATGATTTTGAACCATCCTGACCGAGGTGAGACTTTCCCTAGGGATTCATGTTTTGTCATAGCTGAATCATCACATAGACCAGGCACAGTACTCTGCCGTATTTGAATTCCCCTGAGCTGTCGTGTGGTTTCTTCGGCAGGTGGATCCCCGTATCTGGCCACAAAAATCAACGAGGCTAAAGATTTACTTGATGGACAAACAAAAAATTAGATCTTCACCGGATGTTTGAACGAGTCACTTGAATTATTTCCTGATCATTAAACACCACGTTGTCATCTCCATCTGATCTCCTTTTTGAGCTGAATGTGGACCCAAATCAGATTCATTCCCTTTTGTTTAGGACAGTGTGAACGGCAAGATCACATTTAATCTGAATTCAGTTAATGGTGGGCCACTATCGTGTGTGTTTGACGTATGAAGCACGGCTCACACCAAACAACTTTCTGTTGGACAACGCAGTTAATACATGGAATCAGATTGAACCTGAATTCAGTTCCAGTGTGGGCCACTTTCATCAGTGTGAACAGTCAAGTCAAAAGGTCAATTTGCCATCTTTTGTTCTGAAGTTTCAATGAGCAAATCAATAACATAGACTATGCTGGTTATGCTGTACAGTATTGTATGATTCATTAGCCAATGACTCCTATGAACCGGCTCTTTTAAATGAACCAGTGTAGTCAGATTCATGAGCCACTGACTCCTATGAACCGGCTCTTTTAAATGAACCAGTGTAGTCCGATTCATGAGCCACTGACTCCTATGAACTGGCTCTTTTAAATTAATCAGTGTAGTCTGATTCATGAGTCAGTGACTCCTATGAACTAGCTCTTTTAAATTAATCAGTGTAGTCCAATTCATGAGCCAATGACTCCTATGAACCGGCTCTTTTAAATGAACCAGTGTAGTCCAATTCATGAGCCAATGACTCCTATGAACCGGCTCTTTTAAATGAACCAGTGTAGTCCCGATTCATGAGCCAATGACTCCTATGAACCGGTTCTTTTAAATGAACCAGTGTTGTCCAATTCATGAGCAAATGACTCCTACGAAACGGTTCTTTTAAATAAACCAGTGTAGTCCAATTCATGAGCCAATGACTGAACTGGTTCTTTTAAATGAACCAGTGTAGTCCGATTCAGGAGCCAATGACTCCTATGAACTGGTTCTTTTAAATTAACCAGTGTCGTCTGATTCATGAGCTAATGGCTCCTATAAACCGGCTCTTTTAAATGAACCAGTGTTGTCCAATTCATGATCCAATGACTCCTATGAACTGGTTCTTTTAAATGAACCTGTGCCATCCAATTCATGATCCAATGACTCCCATTGACCGGTTCTTTTAAAATGAATCAGTGTACTCAGATTCATAAGCCAATGACTCCTATGAACTGGCTCTTTTAAATTAACCAGTGTAGTCCGATTCATGAGCAAATGACTCCCATGAACCGGCTCTTTTAAATGAACCAATGTAGTCCGATTCATGAGCCAATTACTCCCATGAACTGGCTCTTTTAAATTAACCAGTGTAGTCTGATTCATGAGCCACAGACTCCCATGAACTGGCTCTTTTAAATTAGCCAGTGCAGTCTGATTCATGAGCCAATGACTCCCATGTACTGGCTCTTTTAAATGAACCAGTGTAGTCCGATTCATGAGCCAATGACTCCTATGAACTGGCTCTTTTAAATGAACCAGTCAAAAAGACACTTGTAAATACATATACACATTCAGAACAAAGTAGCTGCAGCTAAATGCAATGAATGATAAAAATGTTTTTTATATACATTTAGGATTATTATGAGGTGTGGGTCCTCACCAATACTAAAAGAATCATCATTGAATTGATAAGAAATTGTAAACGCTAAGTGGAGTCAGAATCATGGTATATAATATAATATACAGGAGATCAACACAAAATAAAAGTCGTAGCCTTTGTTGGACAGGAAAAGAACAAAACAACAGATACACCAACTTTGAAAGGTTGGCTGGAAGATCAAATGTTTATTTATGAACTACCTGCATACAAAACATATTGCACATCAAACAACCAGAATGATCTTTAAAAAAAACCCATAAAGACTAACGAACGTAGTTTACAGAACAGAACATCTGGAAATTGATCTTTCAGTAGTCCAAATTTGCAATCTGCGAGCCAAGAAGTTCTGACAGCTTAGTGTTAAAAACAACTGCCTAGTTAATTTTAAATACTGTACATTTTAAAATAAATATACCCCAAAAAAGGCTCCTTTAGCAAAACGGTCTCGGTTGCCGCCATTACAACCCAACAGGCAGAAGATGAAACCCAAATTCAATCAATCAGGAAGTGTTTTACATACAGCATTTAAAATGAACAGAGTTAGCAGACCAGTTTCCAGACTAACATTATTCGAAAGGTCGAGAAATGACTATTCAGTGCAAAACATCCTTTTCCCCCATAACCCCTCGCAAAGAAGTGGTTGCATATTAAAACGTAACAAAAAGCAGCTAAGGATGTCTGGGAGTCTTTCAGACGAGTTGTTTGTTTGTTTTCTGTTCGTTTTCTCTATAGCCAGCCAACATAATGTTGAAACTACGCTCTGAAGGCACAACATCTGATCAGGAACACAAGTGTGACTCAGGTTTGTTTTGTTTTTTTGTCATCTCATAATTTTTTTTTCTTTTTTTTCCATTGTAATTATCTGTTCCATTGCGAAGGAACTGAAAAGTGCAATCGAGAATGTGGAAGTCCGTACGTCTATCTTTGGCAAGCTTGTACAAGCACTATTGTAAAACTGTAAAGGTGATGAGTCGCAGTGATTAGGAGAGTCCGTTGACGGCGGCCTGGCTCTGATGATCGTCTGCTTTGGTGGGGCCGTTGCTCACCGCTTCAGCGGGGCCGTGCTCCGATATCAGCTCCACTTGAGCCTGACGGGCACACACACAGATTAAACACACACACACAATGACTCTCACAGCTGTTTGTGGCGATTAACGAACATGGGTGCGCTTCGCTGTCAGGCAAAAGTTACTTTTTATTTTTAGTTGTATTTTTTAGTTTGATAATGATTTTTTATATACTAAATTCTATTTACGCTGTATTTATAATCCATTTACTCACTATTTGAGCATAGACCTGATCGTAAATCTCGAAAGCTTTAGAGCACGGTTTGGTCTCCTTTCAAAGACTATTATTGCTGACAAAAGTTTTAAAAAGTGAACTTAAAAGGGATGGCTATTAATTTTTTTTTGTTTGTTTTTTTGCTTTAGTTAACTGTAATAACCCTGAACTCATGATGATGGACTGCATGAAATTGCTATGGACAAAAAAAAAAAAGATGAATAGTAAAATAGTAGTTAAATTGTAACTCTGGGTCAAATCTATCGCTTAAAATCCCTTAAAGGAGTCGTTCGCTTTTGAAAAAACTTTTGCTGGTAATTTACTCACCCCCATGTCATCCAAGATGTCCATGTCTTTCTTTCTTCAGTTGAAAAGAAATTAAGGTTTTTGATGAAAACATTCCAGGATTTTTCTCCATATAATGGACTTCAATGGGAACCAAACGGTTCAAGGTCCAAACGACAGTTTCAGTGGAAACTGTTCAAAGGGCTTTAAACGACTCCAGACGATGAATAAGGGTCTTATCAAGTGAAACATTCTCTCCTGTTCGAACTCGTTCATCAAAATGAACGAATCTTTTTGGTTCATTCAACGAACAAAATGAAACTAATTAACTCTAAAATATTTGAACAGGAGAGTCACAGCGAACAGAGCAAGGCGACCATTCGAGCTTATAAAACTTAAAATTTGTTATTTATTTATTAAATGAGCGATCGTTTCGCTTGATAAGACCCTTATTCATCGTCTGGAATCGTTTAAAGCCCTTTGAACAGTTTGCACTGAAACTGTCTTTTGGACCTTGAACCGTCTGGTTCCCATTGAAGTCCATTATATGGAGAAAAATCCTGGAATGTTTTCATCAAAAACCTTAATTTCTTTTCGACTGAAGAAAGAAAGACATGGACATCTTGGATGACATGGGGGTGAGTAAATTATCAGCAAAAGTTTTTATAAAAGTGAACTACTCCTTTAAAATAAGGAGATAATAATATGCAACTAATAATATGACTAAATAGCATTACTTATTAAGGTATAAATATTGTCCACCCAGTTAATCAATTGAATCACAGAAGAAATGTAGTCACCATGTCCTTCTTGTTCTTCCTCAGGTCTCTGGGGTTTCTCTGTCTGCTTTGAGAGTCAGCTCGTGATATGTAGTCAGCCACAGTAACTGCAAGAGATACGCCAATGATTTAATTAGCAAACGATCTTTATGATTTGGCAGCTTTGTGTGAGGAACGGGCCAAACGTTTAGTGCTGGAAATGTTCCTCTCCCGGAGCTCTCAAATCTCATCCGCTCTTTCAACTGGATGCGAGTTTCAAGAAACCCTAAACTTGGGTGTTAAACCTGATCCGGTACGTGATGTGGCAAGTAGAGATTGGAGAGCTGTGGTGGAGAGGAAGATTCCCTTTGACTGGAACAGGACAACTTTTGGGCTGAATCTTCCCGGTTGAGAAGGTAAAAGACAAACCTGCATGCATTTACATCAACCATGCATATCTGCATATTAGGCCTAATGTTATTTCCAATCGTGTAACCAACACGTTTAAAACTTGTATTTCAAGATCATTTATTCCACTCAAACGTCTGAAAATAACTTCATTCAAGAAAAACCTGTAGTTGTGATCTGGCAAGTTGGATCATGTGAGCTCTAGTTGAGTGGAAAGGCCTGGCAGGTTCAATGCCATGCAGTTTGTGTTAGCACTGGCTTGTTAACTCACACCGTTACCTGGCTGCCTCTCCTCAGGAGGGCGGAGACGACGGCGACGGCTACGGTTGCGCCGCTCTTGTTTAGCTTCAGCTTCATCTACAAAACATCGGTGCAAAAACCGGACCTTAAACACTGACTGCCGTTTTGGAGAAAGCCATTTGAGCAGGTTGCAGTGTGTGGAATCTGTCTCGGGGTTATCAATTCCATAAAAACCTAAACATTTATGAGCATTTTAATTGGTAACCAAATATTTTTGCATTAATAGGGTCCGATTCTCACCATTAACTATAAAGTATTCTCGTCGCTTGATAAACTTAAAGGGGTGATGAACTGAGAAATCAAATTTTCCTTGAGCTTTTGACATCTAAGAGGTCATCATATTATAAGAATATCCTGTAAGTTTCAGAACTGAAAACGTCCTTGTTTGTCCAATAAAAGCTTTTATTGGCACAGCCTCTGAAAACGACTCGTT